AATGATTCTCCTGCCTCAGCCTCCCACGTAATTGGGATTAGAGGCACACGCCACCATGCTCAGCTAATTTTTTGTATTTTTTAGTAGATATGGGGTTTCACCAGGTTGGTCAGCCTGGCCTTGAACTCCTGACCTCAAGTGATCCACTCGCCTCGACCTCCCAAAGTGCTGGGATTACAGGCATGAGCCACCACACCGGCTCTTCTCTCTTTCTGAGGATACAAGAAGACGGCAGGCTGTGACCCAGAAGAGGGTCCTCATCAGCGCCCGAACATGCCGACATCCTAATCTTGGAACTGTGAGAAATAAATATCTGTAATTTCTAAGCCACACAATCTACGGTACTTTGTTATAGCAGCCCAAACTGACTCAGACCCTCAGAAAAGGCCGATGGGGAAAACCATCCTGGAAAGTAAATAGTCAAGAGGACCTCGCAAGAGCAGACATGAGAAAACTCCCCATCCTGCTCCCCACCCCAGTGAATTCACTAGAGACGCAGCTCTCAACTCCTTGTACCAAGACCCAAAGGAATAACACACTTTACATCATACCCCTATACACACATACATGCGTAACTGATGAAAGTTTCATAAAGTAATATTTACTCACTATGTGCAATGCACACTGATGTTTCATATTCTGTTCTGTTTTTTAAATGCTGGCCACAACCCACACAAATTGATTTCTAAACCTTAATAGTTTCTAGTCAGCAGTGTAAACAACTCTCATCAGAGGGAGAGCACCCTTAAGAGGAAGGGGAAATCTTGAGTTTCACAGGCACGAACAGTAGTGTTTCTTCTCTCTGAGATATGCCTCCCATACCCACAGCCTCTTTTTTTCCTTTTTTTATCGTACTGGGATCCTATATTCCTGATTGCCTACTTTCCAGGTGAGTTATCTCCTCTGGAGTTCATACCTCTCTACTGGCTCTCTTATGTAACCACCTGATATGGTTTGGCTGTGTCCCCACCCAAATCTCATCTTGAATTGTAGCTCCCATAATTCCCATGTGTTGTGGGAGGGACCTGGTGGAAGATAATTGAATCATAGAAGCAGTTTCCTCCATACTGTTCTCATGGTAGTGAATAAGTCTCACAAGATCTGATAGTTTCATAAGGGGTTTCCCCTTTTGCTTGGCTCTCATTCTTTCTTGGCTGCTGCCATGTAAGATGTGCCTTTCACCTTCTGCCATGATTGTGAAGCCTCCCCAACCTCATGGAACTGCGAGGCCATTAAACCTCTTCTTTCTTTATAAATTACCCACTCTCAGGTATGTCTTTATCAGCAGTTTGAAAACAGACTAATAAACTACCCTCAATGCCTCTCTAATTCTACCCATTGTACATGGATTGGACTCCTCAATGCTAACTCCATTCGTGAAATACTTTCCAAGCCCTTTTATACCCAGCATGTACAAATTGTCCCCAGCGCCTTCTTAACAAGTATGTCTGAATAACAGAAAACTACAATAATAATGCATGTCAGAATTATGTAATGTAAAGATGTGTCAGTCACTGCTACCAGCTTTATCTATACCTCTTTCTCTGTAATCCTTATAACATCTGATACATTAGGTCCATAGCTATTAAGTGGTGGACTTGAGCTTCGAATCCAGGTGTTGCTGGGAAACATGCAGATCACAGAGAAGCAGGATGGCGTGGCCTTCCAGTGGTGGGGGCAGGGTGTCATGAGACACAGGGCATTGGTAGGTCTTATGCAGAGCCTCTTTAGGGTTTTACACCACTGGTAGAAGAATCTGTCTCTACACCAAAGAGGTCAAACCAAGAGACTTCTTACTTGGCCACAAAGACATGTTTCTGGCCATTGAGCCACAGGGCTTTTCGTCAGCCCTGAGGAATGACAGACCTTTGTGGGGCTCCTGTTTCTAGGCGTAAGAGCAGGGGAGAGGCTGAAAAGCATCTGACATTCCTGGCGTCCCATTCTCTAGACAAGAGGGGACACTAAAAAGGGCCTAAATACCTGTCCAAAGGCTTCAGTCACAATCCCTACTCTGTAAGTCAAATCTTGGCATCATTTCATCCCATGCAACTAAGAAGAAAGATATATATCATGATAGCATATGGATTTGCTAACCATCTTCTACCGTTTTCACAATTTAAGAATTTTTAGGTCTGGGGTCAGTTGGAGTATTGCTGAGGAGAACCCTTCTCAAGGGCAGGGCTCTGGGAGATCACGCTCTCATGGTTCCCCGGGACTGGTCCTCAGGCTCGCTAGTTTAAGGTGAGTGGAGTGGTCTCTACCAGCTGAGCATGATAACAACCCTAGGTCATTCATTTACAACGTACTGTAATACACTACCTTTTCCATTCCACCAGGGGGCGCCATTCACATAGACTTCAACAGCAGCGGCATCAACAGGACTACAAAGTGGTGGTCGTGAAAAACACACTTGAGACCGTTGTATGTATCTGAAATCAGATATGACACCTGAAAAAATAAATCAAATTAATGCTCATATGATTGCTTGCTGTCCAGGGAATTCAAAGCAAAGGTGAAAACTGACCCTTACATCACTTCTTCCTTCCAGATGAATAGCATCAGCTACATTTTCTATCCCATTATGTAATGCTTCTATTCTGACCATCCACCTGTGATGGACATAGTCTTTTTAGATGTGTTAGTTTTAATATTATTCAAGACTTAGTCTCAACCATTCTATTAAGTGACTTTGCAGATATCTGATGTCATCTCCATTAACGTAGATTTGCACGTCAGATTCAGCTCTGAGTTCACCTTAATGCAGCAGTGGTGGTTCCCACAGTGTAGTGCCCAGGCCCCCTACATCAGCATCACTTCAGAACTTGTTAGAAATGCAAATTTCTGGGTCCCAAGTCAGACCTACCTACCGAGTCCGAAATCTAAGTGTGGGGCCTGCAGTCTGTGTTTTTACAAGCGTAACAGGAAATACTAACACATGCTAAAGTCTGAGAACCACTGACTTAACGTACAGCTTCCAACCCGGATGACACTAGAAACAACTATGGGACTTTACAGAAATATAGGGGTCCTGCCTTCTCCCAGAGCCACTAGGGTAGTGGAAACAAATGTCACAATCAAATGGACCTGGGTTTGAATTCTGGTTTTGTCACTCACCAGCTGTGTGCCTTGTGGAGGCTCCATCTTCTCATCTGTAAAGTAGAAGTCGTCGGAGCTGCCTTGTAGGAAGGTGTAGGAGGGGAAGGTTCAGCAAATGCCTCCTAGAGAGATTGACAAATAGTACGTCTTCTTCCTTGGCCTCCACCACAACTAGAATCTTACTCACCCGGCCTGTGAGGGTACAGTTCTCACCTTGCCCCAGAATCACCAGGCAAGAATGATATGCTAGACCCGCTTTCTGAAGTTTCACAAATGGATAAACATTTTCACAGCTGTTATTGGGATTTTGCCGTAAATTAGTAGGAGCACGCCCCTGAGATCTGACAAAGCTATTTCAAACTCTAGATCAATGAGGAGGGAAGCTCCTATGAAGCCGGGTTTGCCAACGGAGACCATTGTCATTGTTCAAGTTGCTCTTGGGATCTAGCTCAGATTCCTGCTGACACCAGGGAAGTGAAGAATGAAAATAGTTGCCTAGAAAATTAGAAGCATCTCCCCAAGTTACCTGCCACAGACAGGTTTGTTTTTCCTTGATTGCCACATACAGGTTTGTTTTTCCTTAATTATCTAGGTAATTGCTTTGCTTCCTCTACCTGCCTTTACCAAGAGACACCTGGCCAGAAGAGCGAGGAATTAAAGTACCTGTGGAGGCTGCCCGCCGAGTGAAGCTGCAGGCTGCCCATCCCATCGCAGTAGTTCCTTAGTTGTCAGCGGGTTGTTTCTATGAATGCCCCCTCCATCAGAAACCAATGAGCTTTCTCTAATTAATCTAGATCTCTGCTCTTGTGGAATTGGCACGGAGACAGCGGTTAAATGCTAAATTGTCAGCCTAAAGTCAAATCCTTTTATTTAAAAACATAATATGCAGAATGGCTTCCTAAAATAAAAATTGGGAAAACTGTTAACATAGAGACTTCCAGGTTTTGCCAAGGATGCAACTGTTTTCTCAAATACAGTTTTTGACAGTTACATACAAATCAAATCAAAATTCATCCAACACACTCTCTGAATTAGTCTCAGTACAATGTGCATAGACAGCTATCACTAGAGTTAGTGAATATTATGGGAAAAATTAGAGGCAAAAGTTGAGACTGGAGCTGGTGAAAGTTAACAAAATACCATTTATAGAGAGAAAAACACATTTTAGAGGAGTATAAATATACTGCTTGGCATCAACATCAAAGCCCAAGTGCAAGTCAAAGAGTAACCCAAAAGGCTCATAGGTCTTCATACCATAGAAACCCTCCTACTGATGGCAACATAAGGTCCAGCCTTCCACCTGCTACTTCCTTAGTGTTTGTAGAAAAAAAAAAAAAAAATCCCATTGTATAAATTAGAATAGGCCAGATCATGCTATAGTAACAAATAACCCCAAAGTCTCAGCAGCTTACAACACAAAGGTTTACTTCTTTCCCACAGTATTTAGGGTTTTCCAGAGAAATAGAACCAATAAAGGATTTAACAGAGGGAGGGGGGATAAGGGGGAGAGATAGTGATATGGTTTGGCTCTGTGTCCCCACCCAAATCCCACCTGAAACTGTAATCACCACAATCCCCATGTGTCAAGGTCAGGACCAGGTGGAGGTAATTGGATCATGGGTGCGGTTCCCCCATGCTGTTCTTGTGATAGTGAGTTCTCATGATATCTGATGGTTTTATAAGCGCCTGGCATTTCCCCAGCTTACACTCACTCTATCCTGCCACCCTTGTGAAGAAGGTGCCTGCTTCCCCTTTACCTTCCACCATGATTGTAAGTTTCCTGTGGCCTCCCCAGCCATGCAGAACTGTGAGTCAATTAAACCTCTTTCCTTTATAAATTACCTCATCTCAGGTATTTCTTCATAGCAGTGTGAGAATGGACTAACACAGATGGATGTATTCTGAGGAATTAGCTCACTTGATTACGAAGGCTAAGTCCCATGCTCTGCCATCTGCAAGCTGCAGAACCAGGAAAGCTGATGGTGTAGTTTGGTTTCAGACCCGAGGCCTGAGAACAAGTGGAGCTGATGATGTTAAGTCTCAGTTTGAGGGCAGAAGGAGACTGATATCCCAGCTCAAACAGTCAGGCAGAGGAGATGAATTCTCCTTCCTCCACCTTTTGTTCTGTTCAGGCTCTCAACAAATTGGCTAATACCCTTCCATTCAGGGAAGAAAAATCTATCTTATGGAGTCCACTGACTCAAATGCAAATCTCATCTGGAAACACCATCACAGACACCCAGAAAAGCTTAGCCAAATATCTGGCCACTCCATGATCCAGTCAAGTTGACACACAAAATTAACCATCACACTCACATAACATGTTGAATGAAAGTTGGCTCTGGCTTTGATGCTTTCCCCAAACTTCACTCTAGGTTCCACGATGATAGAGCAGCGTCCAGCTGGAACATTATCAGGCCCAGGGTGAGAGAAGGGAGACAAAGAGAACAGTGCACTGGTTCCCAGAAATGACACACGTTTTTGCTGCTCCCATTTCATCAGCCACAGCAAATCGCATGGCCTCTCTTGAGTCTGGCAGAGTTGAAGAGTAAACTCCTTCCATGGCAAAAGATGGAGGAAAAGTAAAATATTTGGCAAACAGAAATACAGTCTCCCATACCAATGGAATTCTTATGCAGTCCACACTTAACTTATTCTGGACCTCTGCTCCGAGATTTCCCCTCAGATCTCTACTGAATATCTTCTTATTACTTTTTCACACAAGACAGACTCTTGTTTTATGCGAGGAGAGTTGCAGGCTCCTCCCTTAATTTCCAAAAGTATAGCAAATATCTGGATAAACATTTAAGACAATTTCCTGGATGCTTGAGAATAATGAGGGAATTATAATGGAGAGAAAGAAAAATACAGTACTGGATATGAACTATCACTGCTCTTGGAGTTGAGTCCATCAGCCATGCCTCTCCGCTGGCTTCCTCTCTATGTGGCCTCCCCTAGTCCATCAATTACCATGTGCCACCAGTCCCCAGGTTACCTTCTCCAACTCCCCTTACCCTCACTGCAAGTAAGGGTGTTATCCATCACATCCTCACCCACAGGCAACAGCATCATAATCCTGCAAAGATGCAATTCTGCACATGACAAATTCAGCCTTTGATAATTTTATTCAGAGCTGTTCAGGATGTCTGGCTCGAGCTTCTTGAGTCTAGAATAGAATTTTGGCTTTGCATAAATAACCCAGTGAAGAATAATTTTAATCAAAGATGATGTATGTCTCCTAGCTGAACAAGAGAAAATAACAGGTAGATTTGAAATGTTTTTTTTTTTTTTTTTGGTCTACTGCACACAAAAAGAAAATGGTTGTGTGGGTTTGTGTGTGTTGTGTGTGTTTGCATGTATAAAGTGAGAGTGACCACATATACACAGTCTGGATGTCCATGTAATTTTGCGTTTTGTTTTGCTTTTTCACGTACTATGTCATAAACGAATTTTGAAATTTTATATAATTTTCTTAATTAACTATAACTAACATAGTTAAAGACTACATAATATTCCATCCTGATAAACTAACATAATTTGTTAAAGCATTCTCTTAATTTAGATATGTCCCTTTAATTTATTATTATGACAGTTGTCATAAATTGTTTCATGCATATGAGCATTTGCATCTGTTAGATTACTTTATTGAGGTAAATTCTTAGGGATAAAATTCATGGGTTAAAAGTAGGGATGTTATTGCCTTGTGCCAACCATTTTATATACCTTTTCTAATTCATGCTAATTATGTGTAATTTTTACTGCAAATTCAGTAACACTTTTATTTGAAACTATGTTGTTCTGTTTAACTTAATAAACTAATAACCTGTGAAATATAGGTGATAATGTTTATTTCCAATATGAAAGATTTTATCCTCCTAAAAATCAACTTAAAAAGCTTTGCATTGGGATAGGGACAGCGACTTTTGATATAAAAACCCCCTCTGATCTAGAAAAAATAGTATATATGGGTCATAACCCTTTGGTTGCAAGTAGCAGAAATGCAATTTATACTAATTAATGCAAGAAAGAAGAGTTTGGAGGGGTTGTGGAGTAGCCTACCTCATAGTAAACAAACAAACAAAAAAAAAGATGATTAACCAAACCTCCCAAGTGCAGCCATCTAAGTACAGCCAAAGATGTTATTAATAACTAGAAAATGATCGGGACCCTCTCCCATCCTGTCTTCCACTGCATCTCTCTAGATCTTGGCTTTGTCTTCTCCTACCAGAGACAGATGTCTGCATGTGGGGCTTACTCCTAGCAGCTCCATGCCCGAAGAAAGGG